GCTCGATCATGCATCTGGTCGAAGGATAGTTTGGTCGACAGCCTTGATCGGTCGACTTGTTGACTGCTCGATTTCTTTGGCTTCCTCATAATACGACTCCTCGACCGGTCAGAAGACCGGCTCAGCCTTGTGGGTATAATATCCCAAATCAGTGCCCATCTATGAGGCAATGCATTCATTAACTCAATTCATGCTTTGTCATGATCTTTCTTGAGCAGCGCCATTGATTTGTCATGAACAATGGGGGAATAGATGTACGAAGCTTTCATGTATAAGTGAACTACTTCACGACCAAACTTTCGAATATTTTGATGTAAGTGGTACGTGCAAATAACATGAGTTTCTTCGGGATAAACAACCTCCAAAGCCGACTTGATGCTTGGGTGACGATCAGAAACAATGACTAAGTTTTCAGGACATCCGTATACATTACGAAGCGTATGTAGAAACCACGCCCAAGTATTGTGCTCTTCCTTGTCACCTATACCAAAAGCCAATGGAAATATCTGCTCATTTCCATCTTTTGTTGTTGCTACGAACAAAATGCCTTTATATTGACCCTTCAAATGGGTACCATCAACCACAATCACAGGGCGACAATAATTAGTGAAGCCGTTGGATGCATGTAAGGCAAAGAATGCGTATTTGAACACATCATCGTCATTTGTCTCATAGCATGTGGTGGTTCTAGGATTTTCTCTCATCAACATATGAAAATATCCAGGCAAGAGTTCCCAAAATTTATTATGATTTCCATAAACGAAGTCATACGCGACATTATGAGACTTTAGTGCTTTATTGTATTTGAGCCTAATCCCATGATCACGCTCCAGGTCACTCATTATATCCCTCGGCTTTAATACTCGCCCTTCTGCCAATAACTTCGGCGCAAATAAAGCTCCAATGATCTTGGAAGGCAACTGTCTAGGGGCTGAGCGACTGAGGTCGAGCATACATGTATGATGGTTGAATTTACATATTTTCTAATTACCATCAACCATTGCATTAGCACGAAGTAAAAATAGGCAGTCTTTATGCTTGCAGACAGACTCAAAACGAGATTGTGATGACCTTCGTGTTCGATATTCCACTTTGTGTTGCAAGTGGTAGAATCCCAACCTCATTATCAGTTCTTCCTTCCTACCAACTATCATTCATTTAAACAATTCAGATCCTGAGTCTAACACAGGAGGAGGAGGCTCTTGGACCCGAGTTTGCACATCTGGAAAATGATAAGTTACTCCGGGAACCATCCAAGCATTTCTCGAATGCAAGTTTCGTTGTTCAATGAATGCATCTTCATCAGGAGTATCATTTTTGGAAAGGTTAATTGCTGGCACATTATGGATATTAACACTCTTCCTCCGACCGGTGTCCTCATTTTCATTATCCTGCTCGAGTTGCCCATTCT